CGAGTACACATTTAAAGGGACATAGCGCTGGAGATCGAGAAGTCCGGGATCAACCGAGAGGCGTAGCCAATCACCAAAGCTGTGTCCCTGACTGGACGACGTCGAGAGCCAATCATCTGAGACGGGGAGACGTGATCCAGAGGCGAATGCACTAACAAGAGTGATGGTTATCTCGTAGGAGCCGGAGGGTGGCAGCTGGTGGGTACGTAGACGAGCGAGATCACGTCTGACGGCTGTGTAGTCCGTGGGGTTGGCGAACAGGCGACCGCCTTGGAGGTTAGGTGCCAGCGAGTGTGTGTCATTGCCAATCCACCAGACTGACTCATAGGCGGCCTAGATAAAGCCGAGGTGCACAATGCTGGAGGCATGCTAACATGGTATAAGTTTGTTTGGCAAACTCGCAATATGCGAAGCCATGCAGGCAACATGTCAGCAGTGTAATACGGGAGATACAGGAGATAACAGGGGGTTTTTCGACTGGGGCTAAACGACGGAAAAGAGTAAAAGGTTAACGGTAAACACAGTTTCGATTGAGGCGAATGTTCGCATCCCAGGTACGTGTGTAGATAGAGAAGTAGAAGGCGTTGCGATCATCGGAATCATACTTTTACTTTTCTGAGCTACCGGGCTCTTTTAGAGATAAAAGGCTTAAACAAAAGACAAGCAACAGTTATATAGCCGCCGGAGAGTTGCTGTTAAGAGTGAGAAGCGGCTCACAAAAGAAGCTGCGTACAAACACTCTTCAAAAGAATCCAGACTCATTGCGGTAACCCGGAAGCAAAAGCACGTGAGGCCCGATATATCCGAGAACAATTTATGCGGATTGGCTCTCCGAAGGTCTTCACAAGTCGATACCTACGTGTTTGCCCTCGGAGGACCCAACCAAGACCAACCCATATGATATGGCATGCGCTGCCATCATGTATCGCATACCATCTCTATACTGTCCCCGAACTACATAGGACAGACAGAAGGTATGCTTGGTTCATGCATACATGAACATAAGCTGGGGGTACGACGGGGTAACGCATAACCGCAAATGGTCACAGGCCTACGAGACCGGTCACAAGTTTACTTTCGCAGCTGCGAGGATAATCGCGCATGCCGCCAACAAAACAGGCCACGAATTGATTTAAGCCTGGGCCTTGGAGGAGAACTGA